TGCCGGCCTGGGACATTTAACCACAGCGACCCAGCGCCACGCGCACTCCTCATCGCCCGCCCTCTCCCCCTCGTCGCCCCACTTCTCCATCTCTCTCTCTCTCTCTCTCTCCCTCTTTCGTTGCGTGGCCACCATGCTCTCCGGGTGAGCCTGGACACCGCCCCCCTCCCCGTCTCCCGCCCCCGTTCCGCACCACCCGTTCTCCCCCGCCCTCTCCCCCCCCCCCCCCCCCCCCCCCCCTCTATTCCGCTTGGGGCTTTTCACTCGCTGGGCGCCCTTGCGCCCGTCACCTGACGATGCCGGGCTCCCCGTCGCAGCGCCCACCCCTGGCCGACGAGGATGCCGCCTTCTGGCAAACATACCCGGAGGCCCTGCCGGCTGTCGGACCAGTCTCACCACGGGCGCCGGTCCTCGGGACCGGGGTGTCTCGCGCGGCGGTGGCCGAGATCCAGGCCCTTCGAGCGCGGCTCTTCGGCCAGATGGCCCTGGCGTCCCAGCTGCGGGAAGTGTGCGTCCGCTGGCCTCCCCCGCGATTAACCTTGCCCGCCCGCAAAGCGCCCGCCTCTCACCTCTCTCGGTTGCCTCCCTGCCCCCGGGCCGCACCTTCAACAGCATCTCCCAGCAGCAGGCCGAAATCTCACGCTTCCGAGATGAGAACCACTTCTGGGCCGACTCCGTGCCGGAGGTCCTGCGTCTCGCTCAGCGACGCATTGCCGAGCTCGAAGCCCACCAAATCCGGGCAGCAGCAGCAGCAGCAGCAGCAGCATCGTCGACGTCGGCGTCGGCATTGGCGACGCCCATCCCCATGCCGGCCAGCCCGCCTCTCCCGGCCCCCAGGGCAATGTTCCCCTCCGGAGCACGAGCCGCCTTCGGAGCCGTCGGCATGGACCTGGACCCGGTGGCCCTGGGGACCGATGCGGCACCGGCCAGTTCGCCCGAGTGGGGCCCCTTCGCCGAGCCCCCGCCCGGATCGCCTTCTCCGGCACTCGGCTCGCCTGCACTGGTGGCGAGCCTTGTCCCGCCCGGTACCGCCAGCCCCCCCGGCCCGGTTGCGCCTGCTGCTGCTGCTGCTGCGCCTGCCGGCCTTGCGATCGGCCCGGGCCTCCCAGCGTCGGGGGTTGATTCTCCTGTTCCCGGGCCCTCTGCCAGCCCCCCGGTGGTTGCCGCAACGGCGAGTCAGCCAGAAATCTCATCAGCCCTGGTCTCCGCGGGCATTGCCGTCTCGAGAGCCCCCGAGCCCCGCTCGGCACCGGTACCATCGGTCATGAGCACGGCGACAAGTGTGTCTGCTGGGTCCGTCCCGGCCATTCCACCGGCCACGAATGTCCACAGCGCCATGCTTGACGCCCCTCCGGCAGGGCCTACTCCCCTTGCTGGCTTGCCCGCTGCACCGTCTGGCCATGCGGATCCCCCTGGTGCGATTCCCCTCAACACCCTGGGCCTGGCAGCCCCGGCTTATACCCCGGCCGGTGGCCAGCCCGCTCCTCCCGTCCCCACGCCATCCGACCGGTCGTCGCCTACCGTGGCGGCGGCGGCGGTGGAGACGGCCGTGCCGGCCACATCCCTCGAGCATGCCACGTCCGGCATGGTGGCTGGCCGCCAGCGTCGACCAGCTCCAGGCCGCCAGTATAAGGACCAGCAGATTCGCCAGTTGGTTGGCCTGCTTCAGGAGGCCTGCCGGCAGTTGGATGCCGACACGTTCGTCCTGCCGCCGCGGCCCCCGCCCGTGCCTCAGGCGCATGCCTCGCCCATTCACGCCAGAAGCCCACCTACCATGAGCCATGAGCCTTCCCCGGTAGCGGCCCCCGGTGTGGCCAGTCCGAGTGGCCCTCCTCCCGAAGGGCCACCCGCAGGCAGTGAGGTGGACATGGCCCCACTTTCTGGGACACCTCCCTCCGGGGCCAGCTCAAGTGACCCCCTGCACGAATCCCCCCCCCTGCTTTCCGGGCTAAATGGCCCGGTCGCCAGTTCGCCCGAGTCGCCTCGGACGTCCGTTGCCACGAGTCCCATGGCCTCCGCCTGGTCCTCGGCACCGGGCTGGTCGCCGGCACCCGGACCGCGCCCACCGCAAGATACCCAGTCGGCCGGCTTTCCCGGGTGGCCCCTTTCGGCCGAGTACACCCCTGTGGTGACTTCGGCCCCGGAGGCCGGCTCCGGGCTCCCCGGCCCGCCAGCCCCCCCGGCAGATGGGCCGGACACAGCCACACCTCACCAGCCCCCAGGCCCGGAGGATCTCCCCGCCATGCTGGCCGACGCTCCCGCCAGCTGGACGCCCCTAACCCAAGGCCAAGCCCTGGCCAGCACGCCTCCCATCATGCTGGCAGATGTTCCAGCCGAATGGGCAGCCTCTTTGACCTCGCCTCCGGCCAGTCCCACCACCACCACCACCTCGTTGCCGGGCATGACGGGGTCGCCTGCCACCACGGCGTCCTTCCGGTCGCCCGTGAGCCCGAGCATGTCGCCCCCCGGCCGGCAGATGGCCTCGGCCTTGGTGGCGCCTCCGGCTCCGGTTGTCCTGGCCGAGGGCCACCCGCTGGCGGTGGAGTTTCAAAGCCCCCTGCTCGACACATGGCCCCCGGGCGGCTGGCCGGCGCATGAGGTGGCCATACAAACCTCGGGCCCAGGCTCCCCCGCGCAAGATGCCGGGATCCAGACATCTGGGCCGCCCTCGCCGGTGCCAGTCTCGCCACGTCCCGGGCCCGCCGCCGCACTGCATGCGTCCCTGGACGTGGGCGTCCAAACTTCAGGGCCCCCCTCACCCGAGCCAATGCCCCGGGCTCCCGCCAGCCAGCCGGAGCTGGCCGATGTGGCGGTGCAAACGTCGAGTCCCCCTTCGCCGGGGCCAAATGCTCTGGTGCAGGCTCTGGATGCCTTCACCCAGACCTCGGCCCCCCCTTCGCCGGTGTCCACCCCCCCCGGCCTGGCTTCTCCCGAGCAGGTGGCTGCCTGGGTGCAAACCTCGGCACCGGCTTCGCCGGATCCAATGCCAGCTCCCCCCTCGCCCGAGCAGGTGTCCAGCTGGGCCCAGACATCGGCGCCGCCCTCTCCCGGGCGGGCGTCGACATGGTGTCAGACATCGGCGCCCCCCTCGCCCGAGCAGGTCACCGCTTGGGCACAGGCTTCGCCGCCGGGGTCGCCGATCCCACCATCAAGCCCACCCTCGCCGGAGCAGATCGCCACCTGGAGTCAAACATCGGCCCCCCCATCGCCGGAGCGGGCCACTGCCCAGACGCAGACATCGGCCCCCCCATCGCCGGAGC